GTCAAGGCATTTCTTAACCTATCACCAGCTCCAGAACACGTTTTCGCTACAGCACGAAGTCCCGAGTCTGCCTCAGACTTGAAGCAGCTGCAGTCGAACCATAGCAACCTACACGTTCTACAACTAGATGTCACTGATTTCGATTCCTTTCCTAAAGTCGTGGAACAAGTTGCAGAGATTCTCGATGGAAAAGGACTGAATGTTTTGCTGAACAATGCAGGAATACTTGAGCGATCTCCGATTGGTGAGGTCACTGTAGATTCCATGGTCAACCTTTACAAAACAAATACCGTGGCTCCTCTCATGCTGGTGCAGGCATTCCTACCACTGTTGAAGAAAGCAGCCGCAGATACTGACGACAAAAGCAGTCTTAAAGCCTGGATACTAAATATGTCGTCTTCTGTTGCTTCTGTGGAGGAGAATGGTATGGGTGGCCTGTACTCTTATCGTGCAAGCAAAACAGCATTAAATGTGATCAACAAGTCGTTAAGCATCGACCTGAAGCCTTTTGGAATAATGGCCATTGTACTTCATCCAGGGTGGGTACAGACAGAAATGGGAGGTCCAAGAGCACTCATTTCAACTGCAGAGAGCGTCACGGGATTGATGAAAGTTATTACATCACTTGATGAAACCAAAAGTGGAATGTTTTATAATCTCAGGGGAGAAATTGTACGTTGGTAGAATGACTTGAATATCAACATTTAGTACTGTTTTAGAAAGCCTCCTTTGCAGACGTTATTAGTATCGGTCATAAATTCCCTCGTCAAATTCCCTCTCCACTGAGAGGGAATTTATGACCAATACTAATAATTTCTGCAAAGGAGGCTATGTGTTAGACTACTTTATACATTGATCAATTCCTGGAAGACTAGGCTCACAAGGCACAGATAGATATAGTAATGTTATTATATTATTATGTTATTATATGTTAATGTATTTGGAATATAATAATATGATAAATTAATAAATCATGGATTAGATATCTAGACATATTTTAAAGTTGCAGCTACGAAGTTGCATGATAAAGAAATTGAGGTGTTTCTAGCATGAAAAAACAAATTGAATGCAAACGTTTCGTCAGTGCAGTGGCAAAATGCAAAGCGTGCATGCGCGATATCTAGACATGTTACAATTTTGTTTCATGCCTATTCTATCACCAATTTTTCTACAGCTACTAGGATTTTGATTTCTATTTTGGATAATTCAATGTTTACCTTGACCTCGTTCCCAGGGCCTTATTCCTTCACCTGACCCCAAGCGAAGGGATAAGGCCCTGGGAACGAGGTTGTGTTTACCTAGTATTACTTGACTAGTGCAATCAATCCTGGTTTCAAATAAGAATTCCTGATGTTGACATTCAAGTCATTCCATATCAGTCTAGCAACACATAATTTCTCTGCATTGTTGGGTCATATTCACCATTTGTTTCCTCTTTGTACTATGTTCACGTATTTCTTAATGTATCGTTGTTCATGAATCATTTATGTTGTCATCACTCCCATGCAATGAGTTCAACTGCTGAAGATTTGTACGTTACGTTGATAGAATGACCCCGGGGACTCCCTAATATCAAAGGGCGGGGGTCCTCGGCGGAAATTATGAAAATGACCCCTAAGAGGGACCTGTGTTTGGAGATGATGGGCGTGGCAGTGCTGAAATTTCACCCCTAAAAGGGACCAATCAATAACAGGTCATTTTGTTTTAGTTGAATGTAGCACCTACCTTTCATAGGAAATATGACGGCTTAGGGACGTCATATACCCTAAAAGGGACCACAAAACTCAGTTGGGGGAAATTCTCGACATTGTAACCCTAAGCGGGACCAAAATACCGATTTCAAACCATAAAAGGGACGCCGAGGACCCCCGCCCTTTGATATTAGGGAGTCCCCCCCCGGGAGAATGACTTGAATATCAATATAATTAGTAGTCCGGCATGCATAGCGTAAGGGCATGCTCACTAATTCACGTGATACACTCTGATATGTATGCATTTTATCACACTTTATAAATCACCATTACAACATCACGAGTGCTTTAGACAATGATGACTACCCGCTGGCAAGAAACGCCATGGGTTCRTGTAGCATAGCCATTTGGTGTATGTTCGTAATCCTGGAGCATTTGATTGGATTAATTTGTTGACGAAGGATAAGCTTCAAAATAATATTCTCCATTCCCACAAGTAGCGCGCATTTATAGAGCACACAAAAGCTCAATAGAATAGTAAACATTCAACACGTATAGTTGACGACTTCTATACCAGTTTGTGCATAGCGTTGTATCACTAGGCTTACTATTGTRATGAAATGTAATGCCGGGAATATTACATGAGCGCGAGAAGGTGYGGATTTTATTTTAGAGTGTTGAAAAGATCTCTCAAGAGTGAGCGTAGCCATATTTCATAATGCTCAAAAATAGCCACACCAGCGTTAGCAGGTCCGCGTACTATGGAAGGGCAAGGCAGCAAACTTTCTTACGCCAATATAGAAAACCATGAAAAAAAATATCGAACGGATGGATGGATGGTATGAAAGATGAATCGAAGCTCAATAAGGGTGGAACTATTACTGAATGAAAAAATCATACAGAAATAGAAAGATTCAAAATACACTTCTGCCCTGCAGCTATAATTGAATCCAAGAATGATGTTGACTAATAGGTGCCGGTAAAGTAACTGTGAAAGATGATGCAGTAAAAAAACCCGGTAAAATTGTCATTGTGATATTAATGTACGAAAATCTGACGCATATACTGTACATCGACTCACGTTAAAGGCATCAATTCAAATAATTACAGTATTTTAAGTAGCCCACATGAATGTGCGTAATGGTTATTATGGTTATTTACGTTACCTTAATTTTCGGCATGAAAGACTATGACGCAATACTGCGATTCGCGTCGCTAGGTTTTTAACGTGCGGCTTAGTAACTGGTGTGCAAATTTATTGCGTAAACTAACGATTCGATCTTGAAATAGACTTGAGGCTATAAATATCGACTGTAACTCGGCTTGGTTGAATGATAATCGTTGAAATTAAATTTAGAAGCTTATGCAGAAATTAAAAGTAGTTTAAAGACTGCTCGATGATATTTTATCGTGATATTTATACATACTAATTTATGTTTACGGCTAATGTTCAAGCGGCTTTCCATATTGTTCAAATCATGCAGTTTGGCCACGCCCAAAGAGGTCTAGTAAGATCTCATATGTTCTATTTGATTTTCCAGGGAAAGCCTCTGGATCCCTGTGGTTTAGAGCTTTCTGGCAAGGCGAGGTCTCTAAGGAGGTTCAACTGAATATGGCGGATATATTTATTGTGTTCACTAGAGTATCTGGAAGTTTTCAAAGAATTCAAAGCCCTGGAATTCACTAAGCAGGGTTAAAAAGTACTTCAACATCGATAAGGTAAGTTGCGAAATACGAAAACAACAGCGGAAAAACTGTTCTTCCAGAATTTTGAAGTAATCTTGTTTTATGCCGTAAGATAGCTTGATACCATTGGAGATGCAATGGTGTGGATTTTCTTGCTAAAGGTTAAAAACGMGAGAAGTTGGAATTTACTCAAGGAGAGAATAAGTTGTTAGATAGCAGTTGAGTTTGCCTGGCATGCCGGCGAATATCGGCAAACGCGCGTGCCACCCGAATTGATGCGATCACACGCAGCCGAATAGATACACCGCCAATAGATCTAAACGCACCGACGAACGAACCAAGCTGTTGCATAGGCTAGTTAGTACCATGTCTTTGAAAACATATTTTATRTGAGTTTAGAAGAGTATTTGAAACTCAGTTTTCACTGATTTCGTTCATTTTGTCAAAATAAGTGACCTATTATGACTAAATCTTTGCAGTGAAAAGACGCCCTCGAGTTCAAATAAACACCGCTATCGAGTGAACTCCGCGCGAGAATGTAAATGTCGCAACCTCCGAAGAAATGCGAATATTATGTTATCATATAAAATCATTTATATCAGTTCGTTTCGGCTGTTTCGATGCTGTTCTCTGGTTCTGTTTTGCGCTGCTATTGAATTTCTGTTTCATAGTATAGTGAGACTGACACTAAGTCCAGCCGGAGACATTGGACGATAATTTTTCAATAATGCCTGGCTTTTGAAACATTACTTGCCTGAAAAACTGAGAATTCCAATCAAGAAGTGTTTGTTTTTGTATTTACAATTTTTAAAGCTGTCAGTMCAATCACTTGTCGTTGCTAAAACAGCTTCAACTGAAGGTGGACAGACACGTCACCGATTGGGTATTAAACAGATCTGCTGACCATGTGACAAAACACTGACTAAGTTATGAAGTTAGCCTTCGAACTTTATTTGATTTATTTGTATTTTGAGGAAACACGTGCTGCCTTCAGTAAAAAATATCAAAATTACATTCCGTTCAGTCTAGTTTTTTTTTTAGTTTAAGAAACCAAACTAGGATCTATAGTCCTGGCACTGCATAGAAATTCAGATCACACTTTGTTTAGGAATCTTTATRTTTAGAAACAAGACAATTTCATAAGAAAAAATAATGTTTTAAGCTAATAGTTATTAAATTTGTTCTGATGACTTCAGCTGTGTTTGYTCGAGTGTGTTGGCTTTTGTTAAGAGTTTTTCCAGTACATGTCAAGTGTATACGAGCAAGTGTCACCCCGGTATCTACCCGGGACCAGAGCTGTCAATATTGCGATATATCAGTTTCGCGTAAAAATGAGAAGTTCAGGATGACCTTGAGGCTTAGAAATCTATTATAATCCCTSACGAATCCCTGGCCTCAATAGTGTCAAATTGGTCAAATATTCAATTATCCTTTCTTKCCGAGAGTTTAAGATCATGTTCAAGTCGATTTAAGTTTGCTGACAGCATATATTAGGTGTTAAATAAGGAAGAMCATCAAGGGCTAATAAGTGAGACGATCAGTTACGAACCGCTCGAAAGCCATGGTTTATCAACAATGTCCACATGCATTAGACACATGATCAATGGATCGGAAACAGTATACCACTGGGCAGGATTCAGGGATTTGTCAAAACAGGTCATCATTAATTTGCCAGCTTGTTCACGATATGTAATCGTGTGGAGCCATTAGGTTGGTTTCTTTTTAGTGTTAAGTCCGGCCCTCAGAAAAAAGGAACCAAAGCTAAACTAGGCTTGTGCAGCTAGTAGGACAGCTAGTCATTGGTCTGGTTTGTGAGTTCGTTTTCTACGCTAGCACCCTTTCATCCATTCATTCATGACARCAATTCCTTCGTTCCTTCATTCAAGTTCCGATATCATAGTATTTACTAGTAATATTCAAGTTCCTTTTGTTTCAGCTTCTACATTGTCAATGTTTTATTCATTCAGATCTCGGCGATCTCATTACCCACTTTTCCATTTTCTTTTCATTAATGCATATTCGTCAATTTCATTCATTGATTAATCTATCTGTTTATTGATATTAATTCCATTTTAATTACACTTTCCATCATTCATATTAGAATCTCACTTTCTTTATCTCAAATAGTTGATTTTTCCTTTTCGTGTGTGCTAATTTTTCCCACTTGATTCAGTAGCTTCCTGGCTATCGATTGTCTCCATGGCGTYGATGCCTACATTTACACAGCTATATATCTTTTAATTGCATGAATTTCCTCTAATTTCTACAGTTATTGTCCCGTCTTCTAYCCTTCTAATAATAGACACTTCTCTTGTTTTCCAAATCATCCATCTTTTGAAATGAAAAAATTGCCTTGCCCACATAGTCACGAAATACTAACAGGAGAAACATTAGTGGCTTAGCAACCACCGTTTTCGCTTGCCTACACACGAACATCTTCCAGTGACATGGTAGTTTAGCTGATTAGCGTGAATCATATATATTTCAGATCAGTATGAAACGATTTACAAGTCAGTGGCCGATCGAGGTGGCTGAACCCTCGCGCACGCATCCTTTAGCTATCAGGTGATAGTCTGTCTTCCCGCAATGAACGGCTGTCTGTGAATACTGTGGTTAGTTTTGAAAATATAAAAGAACATCTGATCTTGTGGAACGGTTATATCGCACAATATGACAACCATTCAAAAAGAAATCGAAAATTCAATAACCTGTAAATTAGCAGCTTGTAAATTGCGCTWAAAACGGCATCATAATACCAAGTACAAGTGTTTGTTTTTTAGAAATAATAAGCAGAATTTTACGAGAGATTTGAAGAAATTAATGATCTTCTTTATGAAAATAAATGAATGACTTAATATGAAAATAAATTGTCCTAGTTTAAGCCGACTGATGTATATTTAAAGGTTCGACTGGTGGTATGTTTCAGTACCGGCATTTCTTTTCAAGTAGTGTTGCCATTCAAAGACACGTGGTCGTCATTTGACAAGCTGCTTGAGAAAAATCTGATATTTTGAATGGTGTAAAATAACATATCGGATGAGTATGACAGGAAGCGTTTGTTTACTTTTGATTCTAAATTGCCGAGGTATTAAACCAGTTAAATCGAAGGAAACCTCACTGTGCCACATTTTTGTTTGGGTTAAATTTCTTGCGACATCTAAAGTAAATCGTGTTTCCGCAATGAAACAGCTTATTGTTAAAAATACTTCTAAGTTTTCAAATCCCTGACTAAACAAGGGTCTTCTTATACTCCCAGTGTTGGGATTTTAAGATCAGTGACAGACGTCGGAGTTGTCAAATGACACCGCGTTGTGTTACATCCGTTACCCATATTGCGTGACCAAGGGTAATATTTATAGACTAAATGCGAGTTTCGAGGTTTTGAATGTGCTGATAAAGTGAAAACCACAATGTCATAGTAAGAAACCAAAAACAAGATAATCCATCCTGGAAAGATCACATTTTAGCGTAGTGTAACGGTGGTTTGCTGAT